ATTGTTAATGTGTTGACCAAAGATCTTTATTTAAATATACGGGAAGCAAGAAAAAAAATATATAGTGAAGTATTAAACATATCAGCGCATTATTTTCAATGAAAAAAAAACACCCAACTGAAATACATGTACTTTTGAAAAATAGAAAAAAAAAACAATTTTTTGAAAATTCTGACTATGTATAACCCCACAAGTGTGAACGGACGAGGATGAAATACATAGGTGGTGGAGCGGAAGGGAATACTTTGTTTTCCTGCAGGAAGCAGGAAAAACACAAAAAGCGAAGATTCATAACTTTGACTCGATTTTATGTTGCTATGTTATGTCAGTGTTATCGTTTATTTTTTCATGAGTTTCTGGTGGATGCTGTGTTGTCAAAAGGTGATAACAAATTAACAGTACTCGTGATCAGTCTTAAAGTTTGTACACTCTCTCTTGGTAGTTTAAAAATGTCAGGGAAGAAAAAATGGATAAATCCGCTGGATTTTTTTAGAGCAATCACCACCCTCGATTATCGTTAAATCAACTCAATAGAAAAATAAGGTTTTAAAGGTCTTAATAGTGGATCGCCATCCGCTAACCCCTCTTCTCTCATCGTAAACTCTATAAACCGTGTAACGTCACTTTGCGGCACAGTTTCGCTCTTGAGATTACATAATTTGCATGCGGCTGACATTGCCCACAGCTGTCAGCCAATGCAATACCACGGGAAACTTCCCTCCATCCTCTGATTGAATTTCGAATCCTTATTCCATGGAATTTGACAACTTGAGAAACGTTGAATCCCCAGTGTGGGGGGATACTCAGCCAAATTTATTGGTATTAGTCTCTCGATTTTTTTCTAACGAATATCCCATCTCATCGGATTTTATCTCATCTACGAAGGATAAATCACATCACGGTTCACTAGTTACGTGATACGCCTGAGATATCGAGAAATGAAATTCGCCCAGAGCAAAATGACTTCCCATTTTGGATGTGTCTCATCAATCCTGACCTCTGCTTTTCGTTTTCAACACGATGATAAAAAACTGCTTTTTCTCATTAGACATGATTCCTTCCGGGCATGATATCATAAGCCGTGATAAAGCCACAATTTCCATTCGTTTTTCATCGGAAATAATCGAAGTTAGGTGAATGACGACAGAATTTTCCAGGGCAATAAAAAGGTATGACGTTATTTCAGTTTTCAGATTATCATAGTTGTGAGAAGTGTCGAGAATAAATAATCGAATGCGGAAACAAAAAAAAATGGAATGTGCTAAAATTAATTCAACGGGTTCGCACTCTTCTATCAAATACTGTTCTGTATTGCTTCTTGACTTCTAGTCTGGAAATTCGTACTACATGCTTCTAAAACTCGAAAACAGGAAAACGGCAACTGAACAGAATCCGGACAGTCAAGTGAAAAAATCCCACACGGAGAGAAATGTGTATGAAAAATTCGTACCAGAATCGCTTGAAAAATTACCGGACTGCGCAGTAAGCATGGAGCATTGTGACCTAACCTTAAATATTACGGTCCAGTCCAGTAAAATTTCCCAACTGCGTCACTGAAAAAGTAATGAGTAATCAGGTAAAATTTACTGGAGGTGCAGTAAAATTTACTGGAAATGTAGTAAAGTTTACTGGAAGTGCATATAATCAGTTCCGGAGAACTGCAGTGATTTTTCATGAATTTCACACGACTTTTCATCAGGGCAGTGCCGTATCCCGCGTTTACTAATACGAAACCAGTAATTTTTCGTACATACTTCTCTCTGTGCATATAATCAGCCTGGAAATATTCTACTAGAACTTCATTTTTCTATTTTGAAGGATTATGTTACAGGAAAGAATCATCCAGTCTGTTTATTCTTCAATGTGTGGGTTATTCGTTCTCTGCAATGTGCAACGATTAATGGGCATAGCAACAGCTAATTCAATTGCTTCCCGGTGAAACAATTTTTAGGCCAGTTTCAAACCGTTCGATTGTATCTTGTATCGTGTGTGCTTTATTTATAGAGAAAATGACGTTCTATGCGTTAACGACGGATCCCATTAATTGACGCATCGACGCGTTTGCAAACTACTTGATATCCATTGAAAATGATCATTGAAAATTCATTAGCATTAAATTCTCCGTTTACCGACCTCTCGGGATTTGCATCGATGGCCAGAGTACCATCGCCACCCAATACATTGAAATAGTGAAATTGTCGATATTCGCAACACAATGCTTGTGGAAAGCCCATATACTCATACCCGCTGGTTATTTCAATACTTGGGTCTTGAAACAAGTAACAATGTGTGGACTTTACTGAGGATTACAGCATAGCAATTTCCATAGTATATAGTGATAGAAGGGCTGCACACAGAAATCCTCGCTAGTGGTCACTTGAGAACCTACCAGGAAAACATGTTCGTCGTGGTAGACTCAAGACGCTGTTATGAGAACCTTATCGCTTTCGCATATCGCATATCGATCCAAAATGACTGCCACTTCCCTCCAACTCCATCAACATTACTAACACCTTCATTAAGCTGTTCAGAGAAATCCACGGAGAAACTCAACTGCTAAAAAATGCGGTAACTGCCTGGGATAGCCCCACCACTAATCATTCATAAGGAAGATTTCAACTTATCTGTTTTAATCGGCTTACTTCTTTAATATTTATAAGTGTCAAAAATATCATCTCTATAGACTTTTCAAAAATTAAACTTGCTATTTCAAGTAACAAAACTGAAATTTTTAATGACGAAAACGTGAAACTACTCTTGAGCTGTTCAGTGATGAATTAGTTAATTGCTTGTATATTTTAGTGGTTCTCAATTTTTTAATCCATTTACCCGTATATATACTGAGAAAGGCTGAAAAAGTTAAAAATTCAAGCAACAATTTCTCGGAATTGTCAAGATATATGGAAAATATAGAAACCGCTTTTAATTCAAATTATATTTAAATTCACATAATTGAACGTTCTGACTAAAGTTATACGAAATTTTTCAATGTGTGGAGGAGAATATTATAGCAATATAATAAAAGGGTTGTCAATGGACCGTCAATAGTAGCTGTATCTAGTCTGCTCGTCGATGTTAAACCGAACAAATAATTAGAAGGCAATATAGGAAGTGTATATTTCTGAGAAATTACACTTAACTGCAGTTATGCGACTGTAGATGAGTTATTGAAATGTATGCGTATATTTATTCTGCTATCAACAAATTGGATTGACGAGCTTCCGAATTGTTTTCATAATACGTTTTTCTCTATTAGGTTGGATCTATTAAGAATGTAGTCTCTACAAAAAATGTACGAGAGACCTACCGCGCCAGCGCGCGTGTTTGAAACGGTTCCTGTAAGAGAGTTACGAATTATTAATTTCGGACCACTTTAGGCCGACCAATAAAGAATCGTGCCTTCATGATTCACTTTCCAATTTTTGATTGATTCCGCATTAGAGCCAGTCAAGAAAAGAATGAAATAGAAAATAAATAAATAAATAAATATAAATAAATAAATGAAATGAAGAAAAGAATGAAATAAAAAAAACTGAATACTTTGCTTAGTTTTAGAGATATTTTGAAAAAACGATTTATAAACAAATCACCATTTCTCAAAAAATGGCTCAACCGAGCTGAATCTGAGTACCGAATTAGCCTCAGATTTTACCTAGTAATTCACAAAATATCAAATGTGGTGGAAATTTTTTTACCGACTATATCTTTTCTGAACTACAAAACCACCCCTGGTCAGAAAATTTATATTTTCGTTAGGACATTTTCAAAAAATGTTGTATTTTTACATTTCATACCATTCTACATTCTTGCCAAGTAAAATTAGATTTTTTTTGGTTGGGATTAGACGATTGCAATGCTTTTAATCGAATGGAAGCCTTGAAATTTTCAACAATTTCAACAACGATGAATCATTAATTTTCTCGAATATCCTAGTGATTTGCTATTTTCGCGCATTTTCAACATAAATGAGAAATTTTCCGACTGTTCTTCATTGAATTTGAATTTAAACTTATCTATTTAAAGATCCATCTGATATTGTGACTGAAACTCCATTTTCAAGATTTTTAATGCCAAGTTATAAGGGAATATTTGCAACACCACTTGCAGACACCGAATCAACACGATTTTAAAGGGTTCCATGAAATTCCAGCACGACTTTATTAAATTACAATGACCTGTTTCAATGAAATAAATGAGCTCATGGATAATAGAATTCTACGAATTTGCATACGTACCTATATGCTAATAAAATATCACAACTCGAGTATATAATCATCAGAATACAAATTATCTAACACATAAATAAGTCGTATATTCAAAAACGCTATTTAAATAGCGAAGAATCGCATTTTCTGGACATTAATACATAATGTTCAAACACAATATTTGCAATTTTATGTAAAATACTAGGAATATTTAACACCGGCCAAATAACATGAAATTCCTGCAGAGATTCTCCTATTCTAGTAATTCTCAATTTTCAAGTATACATATGGCATTCAAACACTATGGAAAAGTTGAAATTTCAAGCAATAGTTTTCATGCATTTTCGATCTACGGGAAATTCAATTGCATTTGTTGTTGAATTTTCACAGTAAATGAGGAATTTTAGTGACTGTTTTCAATTCAACCTCCTGTAATTGAAAATGCAAACGACTTGGTGACTAAAATTTCCAGAAATTCTTAACAGTGGAGTTAATGTTACTGACAATGTTAGCATTATTTTTTCGAATGGGTTCTCCGTTTTTCTATTGTTTTTAACTTCTGGATTCGAAAAAACAAAATTATTGTAATTATGTTCATATTTTCTCGACGGTTTTGTATTCTTGGATAATTCCTCGACCTTTTTAAAACATTGACCTTTTTCATGGAGGTGAATAGATTAGATTGAGCGATAGTTTTATTCCAACGACTTTTCATTTTATTATCTTATCAGCGATAAAAAAGACAAATAGAAAATCTCATGCAATAGCTAAACAGTGCCAAGTGCGATCTAGAGACTAACCCGATAGAATCCAGAGGGTATCAATAGACATTCTTTGGCCCTGACTCATTCCATTCTGATAACATTTCTTGGCCTGAGATGAAAAAAATTTATTTATCACAAGTTCGTAGTATTCCATAAGCTCCATGCATACGTCAATTTCATTTCACGTCGCTATACGTGGAAAAATTAGGCAATTTCATCAAACTGACAAAATTATTGAAAAACCATTTTTTAATATAATATACACCCAAAAATATAAAGCTCCCATATTTATATTTACACTTATCGCAATTTAAAAACTCAACTTTCAACGACTGCAAAGGTGCCGTTTAGAAGGAAAAACAATTAAAATAGTATTACTTTCAGAGTATACAATTATATAAATACTCTCGTGCTGCTAAACACAAAATGAGGGAATTATTATGCAAGAAAAAATGATAGAGCATTTGGCTCAAACGCCACAAGGCAGGGTAGTAGAGATTCATCGTTCAAGTGCCAAGGTTCTGAAATTACTCAGCACCCTTATCTCCGTTATCTCTTATGGATTATTCATGTCTTTAAAGTGGATAATTCCAGACTCATGAAATTGTTATGTGCTCTGTCTGAAAAGGCAATATTTTGACAAATCTACAAAGAATTTGGAACACGCAGATGAAACTAACCATAAGGTGGGTGTTTTGCAATTGGCATTCTATGCTTAAAGAAATAAATTAATATCTTTCCATTTGTATACAGAATTTGATATTATATCGCAAGTCTCGTTCTCGGTGATACTAATTGTACCCATGCTTGTCATGCCTTGAATCACAACGTTTAATGAAGGACTGAAGATTCAAAGATTTCGTGACACCCGGCGGCTTTTATTTCACAAAACCCAAACCCGAGATATTTTACTTACCGCCAAACGCTTTTTGTCACTAGTCACTATCTGTATTTATTTAATAAAATTCCTACTTATAAAAAATTGGTAGAAAAATGATTTTTTTTGGCTTTCCAACAGTGCAGAACACCTCACTAACGGCATCTTCATGCCAAAGTCATTATTGGTCATGAGCGGACGAAATAATGTTCTTCAGAGGAGAAAAAAGCTTCAGTTTTTCTTCCCTCTTTTACAATTTCATCGGAAAAGCGCTCGGAAGAAGAGGAAAAATCTTCAGTAAATACGGAGAAATTTTACGGGTCATTGGAATTTGCATCATTCCTGCTGGTTTGTTTTCACTTATGGTTAGTCGCGCAGTCGAAATTCCGATTTTACACACGTGCGCGCACATTCTCCCTCTCACCCACATTGAGAACACAACGGTGCTGGCACTCAAGCGTTCTTTGATTTTTTTTTTGTTTTTCCGTTACTGCGTGATTCCGTTTTTTTTGTCGATTCTTTGTTTTGTTTGGGCACATCCACTTTCCCGCTATTTCGTTTTTTCCCGCCCTCTTTCGATTTCGCAACGAGCTCGATACACAGTGGTTTATCATGGGCACTAGAAAAATCAAAAAAAAAAAAAGACACACCGTTCGATTGGTTAAAAAATCGGCCTCGTAAATCGCTTCGATTTTCAATTCCAAAAAAGCACACGATATTATGATGCTTTGGTGTACCAGTTGGATTTTAACACCGCTTGCTTCCAATCGAGAAGGAGTAAACAACGCGAGGCTTTGTTTACTTATTCCTTATTCATTACACAAGTGCCATGGGGTCTCTAAGGATCACGAAACCTCAAAACTACGACTACTACTTACTAGATTGGTCGCGATCTCATATTTGAGTAATAACTGCATATAAATTTTCCACACTGGGATTCCATATTGAAATTTAGATTAAATTTGAAGATTGTTCGTTTTTTACAAAGATTAATTGATAATGGGACATGATGATTGGCACCTTGATCATTCCAAGAATTATTCTACAAAATTGAATTGATTCATCAAATAATAACATAATTCAGTGAAATGAAGAAAACAAATTGAGCTGGACTCAATGAGGGGAGAAATAACATGAAAGTGGAAATCAGATCATATTATGATGATTTTAAGGTTTATCCCTATCGCGGTCTCGTCGTGAATTCTAGTGAATGGGGCAGGATTGGTGGAAGACTGTCGGCCAAGATTGGATCCCACCCTTGGGCCATAACACGGCTGGTCTCCGGCTACCAGGCGACGCCCAGTCTAATTTATATTCAATTAATTTAAATAATTATGTATGACACGTGAAAGCAGAGGCGGTTAAATGCACCCTTAAGCTCATATGACGAGGTGGGTTCAGTTGAACAACAGTAAAAATGGTTGCCGGGTTGCCAGAAGTTATTACGCGTATTTTCCCTCTGAGATATACCGTAACTCATAAAACTTAACAACGCTTGAAAAAACTGATTTTGTTGAATTGAAATATTCGCCGCGTCCGGCTACTATTGGACTTCAACTTGGAACTCTTCTCGTAATAACCCTACGACCTATTTCTAACCGTTGGACGATGGCGCGATTCATACAGTTAAAAATCAAAATCGACCATCTGAATTCCATTATATTCATTCATTTATATTATTATTCTATTTATTTGTTATCTTTGACAGACATTTTCTACCTGAGTAAGTGACTTGGAACACTTGGAATACCTTATCACACCTTCAATTGAATATGACTCAATTTATATGAATTATAAAAGTGATATACCTTTAGAAGGGAAAGGGAGAGGAAGGTTCCATCCATGTACTCAGTCATAACTTTTGATAAGGTTGACCTTAATTTGATACCTGATGAAGAACTGATCAGGTTTTTGATCAAGTAACTCAGATCCCAATTACCTAAGATGGATTACGATCAGATTTTCACCTGATCAACGTGATCGTAGTCAAATCAAGCGATTATTGCACGCTACTCTGCATGGCTGCCAGGAATATCGTCACCCTTGCGACTTACTCGTAGATAAAAGATTGGCTAATTGGGCACCCATTAGGATTTGAAGATTATCCCGGCCCTTGTAATAGGCTGGCTCCCGACTACCTGAAGGTTGCCGGGCCTTGCTTTTATGGCTACAGCTCCGAGCCTACCTGAGGTTGCCCACGTCTGCCATAGAGCAGGACCCGGCAACCTTAAGGTAATCGTAAGCCAGCCTATTACAAGGATCGAGATAATCCTCTCATCCTAATAGGTACCCAATAAGTCAACCACTATGTGTGAATAAGTCCTAGCGGTGACGCTATTCCCGTCAGCGATGTAGAGTGGCATGCTAGTTGAATAAAAATGGCCGATTCGCCGAATTGGCGCTAGATTTCAGTTTTTAATTTTTAATGTGAAATTGGAAAAGTCACATTTGCATAAAAAAACCTTGAAAATATATTTACATGATACGTGCGTATAACCGCATGGGTTTTAGTTGACTATAGTCAACTGGAAAGTAGCGGGTTTCTGACGCATACTCATAGTCAACTAAAACCTGACGAAACGTATGTCGCGCATGCGCATCATCGATTCAAGAAAAACAGCAAGGAAATCTAACCTCCGGCTAGTCAATATAAATGTCAACATAAATGTTTGCATTTATAATAACTAATGGACCAAAATTTGAGTCATAAAGTTAGCATTTACGTTCGAGTCATAAATTTGAAATGTGTGAAAGAATAAAATCGTAAGAATAATTTAATTAAAGATGTTAAAAAATAATATTACAGTTTGAAAAATGTTAATCAATGTATGACTGTCATTTCAGAAATACAATAAATGCAACTGTTTCATATTTTTCAATTACGTTTTGTATCAGATTTTTTTATAATTATAACTTTCTTTTTTGTTGCAACTTTGTAACGATTTAAAATAATTGTATTTTGTTTTTTTTTCTTTAGAAGTTTCGAATAATTTTTAAATTACACTTTTTTATTACGTTTTTAAAATTAATGTAATTTTTATTTTTTCAGTTTTCATTTTTTTTTATTTTCATCTGAATTCATACATGTTTATGATAAAGAAACAACAGACAAATGAATGAAATGGTGATGTTCTTGGTGCGACAGGTCAGACCTGAAATTGGTGACTACTAATGAGCTTATACGTAGGGAGCGACCAGCATGTGTTCTACTAGTTCTTTTTAATTTTACATTCGTCAATGAGGCTCCCATCAGAAATGATGTGTTTTCAAAACGTTATGACAAATTAGCCGTGCAGATGATCACTCTTAAAAATCGCACACTGTTTCCCAACGCACTTTTAGAAAAAAAAAGAAGAAATAATACTTCATGGACAGTTGACTATTCATTTTCAGAATAGTGGTGCTGAGTCCCGAGTGTAAAATTCTTCAGACATGCCTGATGTTATATGAGGATCTGATAAAGATTAAGTAAGGCAGCCCATCGCAGGGCATGTCATTCGATCACCGCATTAGGCTCAAATATGATACATGCATGGCATACACGCTTACGAAAGCTGTGATTTCCTCAAACAGTGCCGTTGCCACATTTTTATACGGCATCGTGAATCGGATCTGCCTCCGCTTCATCTTACAAGCTCGGCTTCAATGTGCAGTTTTGCTTTCATTTTAACGAATCATTAGAAGCGAACGCATTCATTCGGCATCCACCGCGACGTCAACCGTCCCTTCGCCTCATAGAGTCTGAATATGGCAGTCTTGAAGAAGATAATTGTCCGACTTCTTTGGGTTCGACCATGCTTAAATCGTAATGTGGCGTACGGGCAAAGCCATGTGACCGTTTCAGCTCCAAAAGCCGTTGCCCATTTAGACTGCGACAAACTTACGGAGGTATGCCTCAATTGTTTCAATAAAGCTAAATACGAAAATATTCAATACTAATATATCGTGTCATACAGCCATCGATACACAGTGTACCTGAATTTCATTGTGGTAAATCGCGCATGTATCGCCCGACTTCCGAATACATCGCCCTATTAGTTTCATTATGGCGAACGCGAACTAGTGAGTGAGTAACAAGTGAGTAAACAAAAAAGAAAAGTGGAGACGTGCAAAAACAAACACAAAAAAACGTCAACACGTTTAGGTGGGCAAAGATTCCGTGAATATCAATGTTTATGGTCAGTGTTCGAGACTGAGGAGAACATTCGTGAACAGAAGTCTCAAATAGAGTTGGTGTTTGTGTTTTGCAATAAATATCTTCTCCGAGAGTTAAATAGATATCAATCATTTATGTTTGACGAGGCCGCGGCGGGCGGGGGAGGGGGTCTATCTGAATAATGCAATGATGACGTATACAGCAGATATATTTAACCATAACACCAGTTGAGTTTATATGTAAGGGAAAAACTGATGTAAAGTGAATAAAAAAATGGGCAAAGAAATACAAGTTTAAATCAACTACCTCGGTGGCAGAATGTAGGAAACGTTTTACCTGCTTGGAATTGCTAAACGTAACTCTGTGGGACTAAGATGACACGTTGTGGAAAGATTTCAGACTACCATTATAGTAAGTTCAAGGAGATATTCACGATGAAGACCTTGGGACATTTATATTCCATAGTATGTGAAACTTTCATTGTGCAGCATTGCGCAAAAGTTTTTGATGCTCATTGGGGCTCTTGTCATCCTGTGTATGCAGCATCCACCCCTCTGAGCACCCGATTTTGCGATACTTGTTAGCTTTATTTATGCTAAAACTTAGCTGGCACAAATTGCTTGGGGTACACAATGAATCATTGTAAGGAGAAATTTCTTACAAAGGATATATGAGACGGCTTGTCTCGTTTTACGCGCATTATAAGTTTTTAGGAAAATTTTGAATGATGACAAGTAGAGGGGCGTTGGGGGAATTCGTGAAATGTGATGGATTGATATTACATGTAATAGGGGAAAGCGAGGAAAATTTTATTTATATCCCACAGAAATGCCTATTGTATTCTTTCATTATATAATGTTATTTTAAGTATATAATGAGATGGTTTCTGAAAGTGGACAGAAAAAAAACCATCGATTCAATAAGTATTAGTTGACATTTTTTTTGAGAT